TTTAAAGGTAAGTCCTCTCTTCAGGGCATGCTTTTCGGGACGGGGTGTTTTGCACATGCACAAAGATCACCATTCTGTGGATGGCTGCCTATGCGCATGCGCAAACTGGGTTAAAAAAAAAACGCTGTGTGTAAGCGGGCATACAGCGATGGGCTCCACAGATCGGAGGTAAGTGTGATCGCATTTCAGCCAGCATAAACTGCACCAGTTGGAACCGATGCAGTTTCTGCTGGCTGAAACGCCCCGTCTGAACGCACCCTATGTGTAACAGATTTTCTGAATTCCCAGCTTTTGTTTTTTTTAAAATAAGCAAAGGTCTCACATCTGACATGAGTCAGATCATGTCAGATGTGTGACAGAGGACTCACCTTTAAAAGTATTTTCTGCCCCCACTTTGTGCCACAGCCCCTTGCAGTGGGAGGGGATGGTTCAGCCTTCCCTGCCATTTCTGTGACTAAAACATTCCAGTCATCTTATTCTGGAATATTTGTTACAGGACAAAACTGGAAGAAAACGTTTGCCAGAAAAGTATTGGCAAGATGTAGTTGTTTATTTTATTATTTATTTTATTTTATTGCATTTATACCCCGCCCTCCCCGTGAACGGGCTCAGGGCGGCTCACATTGGGCACAAAGTGTATACAAGTTTACAGAATACAAGTACAAATTTAAAACAGGCTAAAATCAGTTCTGCGGATGCATAAATAAACTCCTGATATCATACGTAGCAGGGGGAAGGCTGGGGGAATGGAAGATGTCGTCCAATCCCCCCCCCCAGCGGTCTCTCTCTATAGCGGTGCGGTGATGTTAGTGGCTGTGATGTAAGTGGCCGTGGCGGCTCCTACTCATAAGCTCCGTCTTGCAGGCACTGCGGAACTGCACCAAGTCCCGCAGGGCCCTGATCTCCTCCGGGAGCTCATTCCACCAGGTAGGAGCCGCCACTGAGAAAGACCTGGTCCTTGTTGCCACAAGCTTGGCCTCCTTAGGGCCCGGGATCACCAGTCGGTATTGTGATCCTGACCGAAGTGCTCTTTGGGGAATATATGGGGAAATGCGGTCCCTCAGGTAAGTTGGACCCTGGCCATGTAGGGCTTTAAAGGTAAGCACCAGCACTTTGAAGTGAATCCGGTATGCTATAGGCAGCCAGTGCAGCGCTTTCAGCACAGGTCGGATGTGCTCCCGGCCTAAGGCGCCCACCAACAACCTGGCCGCAGCATTCTGCACCAGCTGTAGCTTCCAGATTTGCGACAAAGGCAGCCCCATGTAGAGAGCGTTACAGTAGTCTAGCCTCAAGGTGAGCCGTCGCATGGATCACTGTAGCTAGGTCATTGCGGTCAAGGAAAGGAACCAACTGCTGTATCAGCCGAAGATGATAAAAGGCTGATCTGGCAGTGGCCGCCACCTGGGCCCCCATCGTTAAGGTGGGGTCCAGGAACACTCCCAAATTCCTAACCTCCGAGGCTGGCACCAAAGGTGCCCCATCAAAGGTCGGGAGTCCCAACCCCGATCCGTTCCAACTCAAGCACAGGACCTCCGTCTTCGTCGGGTTTAACTTCAGCCTGCTCAGCCTGAGCCACCCAGCCACAGCTTGTAAGGCCTGGTGCAGATCTTCTGGGTTGGAGTCTGACCGGCCGCCCAACATCAAATAGAGCTGGGTGTCATCTGCGTATTGATGACACCCCAGCCCGTACCTCCGGACAATCTGGGCGAGGGGGCGCATATATATGTTAAACAGCATCAGGGAGAGCACAGCCCCCTGAGGCACCCCACACTCCAGCGGGTGTCTCTGGGACTGCTGCTCCCCTAGCACTACCCTCTGTCCCTGACCTTGGAGAAATGAGGCAAGCCATTGAAGGGCAAGCCCCCTAATCCCCACATCGGCGAGGCGGTGGGCCAGCAGCTGATGGTCGACTGTATCAAATGCAGCCAACAGATCTAACAACAACAGTGCCGCCACACCACCTTGATCCAGATGTCTACGGAGGTCATCAGTCAGGGCAACCAGTACACGCCACCGCCTTCTCAATCAATTTGCCCAAATAGGGCAAATTGGACACCGGCCAATAGTTGGCCAATTCAGTCGGGTCCAAAGTTGTTTTTTTCAAGAGAGGGCGGACCAACGCTTCCTTGAGTGCCTCGGGGAACCGCCCCTCTGAGAGGGACGTGTTGACAATCTCCCTCACGGCACGTCGAAACCCCTCGTGGCCCGCTTTAATGAGCCAGGAGGGGCATGGATCAAGGTCGCACGTGGTTGGGCATACAGCTACAAGCAATCTGTCGACTTCCTCCAGGCTGAGCTGGTCAAAGCATTCTAAACCCGGCCCCGAAGACGCGCAAGGGGCCTCAAGTTCACTAACTGTTTCAACTGTGGCGGGGAGGTTGCGGCGGAGTGATAAGACTTTATCTGCGAAATAGCTCGCAAAAGCCTCACAGCCAATATCCGATCCCCTATCATTTTCTCTGCGCTGAGGCAGAGCCGTCAAAGACCAAATTGTTCTAAATAATTGGGCTGGGCAAGAGGTTGCGGACGCAACCCTGGCTGTGTAGAAATTCCTCTTTGCAGCCTTGACTGCCATCTCATAGGATCTCATAAACGTCCTATAGGATGCTCTTGTAGCCTCATCGCGAGCTCGGCGCCACCATCTCTCTAACCGTCTTAACTCTTGCTTCATCAGCCGCAACCCCTGGGTATACCAGGGGGCCAGCCTAGAGCGAAGGCGCAGAGGGCGCCAGGGAGCGATCACATCGATGGCTGTGGAGAGTCGACTGTGCCAGTCGTCCACAAGCTCACCCAACGAACCGCCGGGGGGGCATTGGTTCCCGCAGAGGCAGTTGAAGCCGCACTAGGTCCTTTTGCTTCCGCGAGCAAGCTAAAATCTGCTCGCCGCCTATACAGGGTCGGGGCGGGACGTTCACATGGGCCTTCAGGGCATAATGGTCCGACCATGGCACTGCATCTGCAGTGATCCAGTCCACTGTAATCCCCATCGAGAAGATTAAATCAAGCGTGTGCCCCGCCTGGTGCGTAGGAACCGATACACATTGGGAGAGTCCCAGCGCCGCCATGGACGTCACTAGGTCCATAACCCGGCTGGAGGTTGCGTCCTCGGCGTGGACGTTGAAGTCACCCAAGACTAATAGCCTAGGGTGCTCCAGCGCCCAGCCTGATACGGCCTCCAGCAGGGACGGCAGGCAACTGGCCGGCGCATTAGGCGGACGGCACACCAGCCAGATTGCCACACTCTCCTCGGCTTCCAGCAACAGGCCGACACACTCTAGGCCCGCAATCTCCAACGAGGGGAGCGCCTTGAAGGAGTAAGCCTCCCGTACGAACATCGCCACTCCCCCCCCCGTCCCCTCATCCGTGATTGGTGTAGGACCAAGTACCCTGGTGGGGCAAGCTATAAGTGTGAAAACTGACGATTGTTCCTTGTATTCTTGTTCACCTTTGAATGTTTTTATTCTTAAACATCTAATCGATATATAAGTTAATAATATGGGGAAATGAAAACAGGGAGCAATAGTGACATGTGATATACAGACATACACTGATGTATGTAGATATCAAAATAAAATGTCCCATGTTGAATGCTGTCGTATGTTTTGATTAATAACCATTTCAGTAGTTACTAAACTGAATAAATATTCATAACGAGATGAAAAGAGACACCAGAGGGCAGAAGAAAGAAGGCTGTATCAACTTGTTCCATCTCCCAATTTAATTTGGTTGTTGAGGTACGTGCTGTCCTGGGATGAGTTGTAACTAGGACTGTGTGCCTGGAAGTACGTACTCAGATGGCCAAAATGCCTAGGTGATTCCTACATTGCAGTCTCATATGCCCACATCAACAGGAGTGAGGGTGCAAACCATAAGCAATGTGAGGCTGCTTCCAATATCCACTCAGCATATGACATCCTAGTCCAGCCAAGCAACTCCAAGGTAAGAGAAGTTGACTGAGGACCTTGATATATTTTGCAGCTGGCAAGATATGTGTGGGTTCGGGGGGGGGGGGGGGAGGATGCAGGGCTGACTCTAAAATGAGGCTAACTGAGACAGATGCCATTCCATCTACCTGTCTCCTCCACAGCCTCTTCTGCCTCACCCCCTCCACTGTCACTATGAGGAGCCAGAAAAAGGAGTCCTCTTTGCCTTGTCTAGGCCTCTTTTAAACACAGCACAGCAAGAAGCGCTTGTCCTGTAGGGCATCCCAGACTCTCTTGAGATTCCTTTCTCTCATAAGAGCTTGGCCATCTTCTTGGTTGCCCTGGCAACAGGGAACAAAAATAGTGGCTGAACTCTCTAGAGAAGAAAGAATTTCACAAGCATTCAGGAAGCCTTTACAGGGCACATGCAGCTTGCCATGCCATTTTTAAAGAGAGGAGCCAGGGGAGAAGGTGACGGGAGATTAGCCGCTCCAAGTCCTGGACAGTGGCCAGAGGCTGAAGTGAGGGAGAGGCAGGGGAGGGCTGGCCAGCCTCACTCAGCCCTTGGGGTGAGCAACTTGGCTCTGATATGGAAATCAGCCTCAACTGTGGGTTTGCAGGAACTTCTAGAACAAAGTTCGAGTCCAGTGGCACCTTTAAGTTCAACACAATTTTATGCTGGTCTTAAAGGTACCACCATTGGACTCAAACTTTGTTCTACTGCTTCAAACCAACATGACTGAAACGATCTTCAGGAATTCCTAGTATTGCTTTTTCTCTTTGTTCTGCACTTCTGGTTTCATTAATATTCATTTTGCCTCTCTTCAAGCCTGTTGTTCCATTGTATGCCTTTCTGCTGACAGGATCTTGCCATAGATCAAACAAGACTCATGCCTGGATTGTGACAGATCTCCCAGATGTTTAGCCTCTCCTTTGTTAGACAGGCTGCCAAATACACCCACCAGAGGCCACAGCGAGATGCTTCCCTGTTCAGTGGCCCCTCCCCATCCTTCACTGCCAGCAAACAGTAACAGAAAGAACTTTGATTTTTATCTCCTTTTGTTTGTTTATTTGTAGGTCTCATTTCTCCACCAGAGAATGTAACAGCTGAATGGCCCAGGGTGGCAAGACAGTTGCATGTGGCTTGGGATCCCCCACGCCTCAGCTATGTGGAATTCTTGGCCTATGAGGTTCTTTATGACGTTGAAGACTTATGGTACCCCCCATCCAGGGTATGATTTATGTAGGGAAGCACAACCGGTGCACAGAGACTGCAAGGGAATCTCTGTGTAAAGCACTCGGTTCGATACATCACGACTCGGACAACGACATAAGAAACACGCGTTTACTCGGTACTTCACACTACAAAGACAAAGACAAACGGCCAAGTGGCCAACTATATACATATCCAAGGGAACACCCCTGGATCCCATTGGGGGGTTTGAATCTCCCGCCAAGGTTTCTATTGGTTCCCCTAGTGGACCTCAGGAGCCTAGCCTCAATTGTTCTTTAGGAATCAAGCTCTGTTCACCTGGCCACTGCCTAGTGGCGGTTCCCAGGACACAACACTAGGGCTGCCAAGTCCCCCCGGGGGGCGGATTTCCCCCCGCTTTGGAGGCCCAATTTCCACCGCCGCAGAATCGGGCCCCGGGGGAAACCCCACCCCGGCGTGCACGTCATCCGGATGTGACGTGATGACGCCGGGCACGCTGGGGGCGGGGCCACAGCCATTGCGCACGGCACGAGCGCGCTTTATGCGCGCGCAGAAGACGCCGTCCGGGAGCCCCCCGCCGCAAAAAAACCCCAACACTTGGCAACCCTACACAACACTCTGCACAGAGGCTCCAGCAGGAGTCAAACACTGTTGCTCCAAAGTACCACTGGGGTTGGTGAAAGAAACGTCTTTGTCCATTCTTACTCTTGCTTGGCTCTGTCTCTTGCAGATTGAAGTTAGGAACAGCCGCACATGCCGCCTCAGTGATCTTCTCCCAGGGCAGCTGTACCGCATCCAAGTGCGCACCAAACCTGATGGCCTGTCCCTTGATGGGCTCTGGGGGCCCTGGTCTCCGTCAGTGTTAGCAGAGACACCCCATCTCCCTGGTGAGTGCTCTACTGGCTGGGAAGCAGTTAGCTGAGGACCTCAGTGGTCCACCACAGAGTAATACCTTGTCTGTAACCTCAAAAAGAATACAACACGGCCTTGATTAACTCCACCCCCCAAAACGAGAGCAATTAGATGTGCCAGATCTGTGGAACCAGCCTCTTTATTTTAGGGCTATAAAGGTTGCTGCTACATTTTGTAGCAAAGTCCCATAACAGGGCAAGGAGAAGTTCAAAGAAATGAAAGCTAAAAACCACTTTGCACATTAAGACTTTTCTACATTGAAAAGGCATAAAACTCACACCTAGATCATTGCATTAAAATGTGTATTTGCAACATACAGCCCCCCTTATATTTATTTTATTTAAAATATTTCTATGCCAACCCTCCAGGAAACCTGCTTGAGGTAGTTTACAGGTAAAACATGATAAAAACACCAAACAGAACTAGTTAAAGTAATGACCTATTAACACAGACTTAATAAATCCAGTTGGAGTGTAAGCACACCATAAAACATTTAACAATTTAAAAGGGGTCTCATAAAACAGGCGAGAACAGATAGGGCTGCCAAGTCCCCCGGGGCGGCGGATTTCCCCCCACTTTGGAGGCCCGATTTCTGCCGCTGCGGAATCAGGCCCCGGGGAAAACCCCACCCCGGCGTGCACGTCAGCCGGATGTAACGTGATGATGCCGGGCACGCTGGGGGCGGGGCCACAGCCATCTGAGGGGAAAACTCGGGACACCATCCGGGAGTCTCCCGCCGCAAAGACAAATGGACTCGGCAACCCTAAGAACAGACTATAACTATGGTGGGTGTTTGTGTGCAGAGTAAGGACTTTAAGATGACCAGGGCTGCTTCTACATGAGTCATTTGTCCTGTGTGGCCAACTACGTGTGTGACTCCTGTCACTCCTGTATTTTACCCCTTTGATCTGGCTGAAAGGGGAAACTGTAGAGTGAATGCAAGCAGAATGTTCAGCGTTCTGGACCAAACTACACATTTGGGTTTTTAATAAGTTGAGCCCTGGTTCCCTGGACCCAACTTGGGTTCCCCACTGCCACACAGCAGCTGTGGGAATGGCTTTATAAAAAATAAAGGTGATCCCAAATGGACTTGGAGTGCTGCTGTAGGGGGAGGAAGGGCCCTGCCCCCCCCCCCGCTCAATTTTCCCACACAGAAAGAACACTGATACATGCGGAATATTATGTGTAGTTTGTAGCTTGGTCCTCTACCTGCAGACAATTTGGCAAGGGGACTGGAGTGAAGCCCCACTGTCAAAATGGCTAAGCTCTGAAATCCTCCCCCCAAACCCTTTAACTATGGTTGCCAGCTCCAGGATAGGAAATACCTGGATATTTGGGGGGTGGGGCCTGAGGAGGTCGGGGTTTGGAAAGGGGAGGGTCTTCAATGGGGTATGATGCCACAGAATCCACCTTTCAAAGCTGCTGTTTTCTCCAGCTGAACTAGTCTCTATTGCTTGAAGATCAGTTGTAGTCCCAGGAGATCTCCAGCCCTACCTTGGGGTTGACAACCCTATCTTTAACTGTAGGTGATGTGAAAGATTTCTGCCAGAGCCCCCTGAAGAGCCTCTGCCAGTCTGAGTAGACAATGCTGACTTGATGGATCAAGTGTCTGATTGACACTAAGGCAGCTTCATGTGTTCCTGTGTTTCCCTCCCCACCTGAGCTGTGGTGCTTCTTCTGCCAACCTTCCACTATTGCAATTGATGTCCAGATGACCAAGATCCACCCCCCTGGAGAAAATGGCTGCTTTGGAGCGTGGACTCTATGACATTATACCCTGCTGAGGTCCCTCCCCCCCTCCCATCCTCCCCAGGCTCCACCCCTAAAATATCCAGTTATTTCCCAATCCAGAGCTGGCAACCCTGTATAATAGAGTCCAATCTCCAATTTTCTCCAGGGGAAATGTCAGGTTTAGGGATGCCAGCCTCCAGGTGGGACCTGGGGACCCCTGGGAATTACATTTGATCTCCAGATGACAGAGATCAGTTCCCCTGGAGAAAATTGATGCTTTGGAGGGTAGACTCTGTGCTCTGTAGCAGGGAGGGCCCACACGATTGTTGTCTCCTCAGCACTTCTGCACTGGCACAGTGGCTCACCAGTGGGAGGGGCATGGAGAGCAGCCAACAACACAGGGACCACAGGGATGAGGCATGTGCAGATACTTTGCAGCCCACTTCCATCCACTTTCTGCTGCTTCTACAGCAGGGGTGCCTCTTCTTGCCCATTTTCCTTTTTTAACATTTTATTTCAAATGCTATAAAATCATTAGCAAACATAAGAGTGTTAGGCTCTGGTAATAAGAACCTTCTGGTGGTCCCTGGCCCAAGAGAGATCCGGCTGTCCTAAACTAGGGCCAGGGCCAAAAAAGGGGCCTCCACCATTGCCTTTACTTTGTCGTGGGTTGTGTGTAGGCCCTGTGCGTCCACCGTGAAACCTAGAAAGTCCACTGATGGCACCCTCAGCAGGCACTTCTCTTGTTTTACTTTGAGTCCGGCGTCCTGGAAATGGTGGAGGACAGCGCGGAGGCAGTCTGCGAAGTCGGCCAGCGTGGCAGCGGCAATCATCACATCATCAAAGAACGGGGTGATGCCGGGTATTCCTCTGAGAAGAGAATCCATCAGTTGGTGGAATAACCCGGGTGCCACACTCACCCCAAATTGCAGTCTATTGACACGGAATGCCCCCCAGTCAGGCCCGTAGCCTGCGTGGGGCCCTCGGGGCCCGGGCCCTCCGCAAGTTTTGTGGGGGCCCTCCCTCCCGATCTCCTGCTCCCCCCTGCTCCCCCCTCTGCCAGGGGTCATCTGGGCTCTTTTCCGTGGCAGCGGCGGCTGTCTTCTTCCCATTTCCTGCCCCTCGAGCCTCGGCTTCTGCTGGGGAAGGCCGGCGCGAGTTCAACACTCCGTGTGTGCATGTGTGTGATTGATCTGTGCCTCTTGCTCCACCGCTCGAGTCCTGGATCCGAGTCCCTCTCTTGCTTGCTTTCTTCCCCTCCCTCTCCCTGGTGGAATTTGGTAGGTTGTCGGCATCGCCCGCCGCCACTGACACACAGTCAAAGCCCCCTCCCTCGGCCTCACACAAATCCAGAATCCACTTTTCCGTTCTCTTGCTCGACAGTCTTACCTTCTAATGGGAACCAGCTGCTGGGATAATTCTGCTCCCGGCGCTGGTCGCATCATCCTCTGGGCAAAACGTCTCTTCCTTTTCTCCCCCCCCCCATCTCTGCCAGCCCCTCTCTGTGTATCACATCTCTGCTTTGAGACAGCGAGTCATACTGACAAACAGAAAGGAAAAATGATCTTCCCTCCCCCTTCCTAGAGTTCCCCGCTCCTTTTTATTTTATTTTTGCTACACCGATTTTGGCTGTCGTTAAAACTTTCCTCCAGCCAGAGTTGTCATTTTGGACGCAGCTTGGCTTGCTTAACCTTATTATATCCAGAGATTGCGGGGGGGGGGGGTGAGAGATAAACTCCGCTAATTGATCCACACAAAATAGGGAGGAAAGTTTTAACGACAGCCAAAGGAGGGGGGAACTCTAGGAAGGGGGAGGGAAGATCGTTTTTCCTTTCTGTTTGTCAGTACGACTCGCTGTCTCAAAGCAGAGATGTGACACACAGAGAGAGGCTGGCAGAGATGGGGAGGGGGGAGAAAAGGAAGAGAATTATCCCCGCAGCGGGTTCTCATTAGAAGGTAAGAAGGCCCAGAGAAGAGGGACCTGCTGCAGCCGAAGCAGCTGGCTGGAGAGCCGCGAGCTCGCCAGCC